TTCTACTATAGTTTACTGTTTTTTTGAAAAAAAAAGTTTGTTGTGATTTTGGTACAAGAGATCATCAGGAAGAGTGTTTGTTTCTTGGAAAATTATAATATAAATTAGATAAAAATATTAAAATAGTTATCTAACAACTAAGAAACCTTTAACTTGTTTGTTATAGTAATCATTTTAAAATGTCTAGCTTGTCTAAAGTAATTACTATTGTCTGAAGTAATAGCAACTAAATCTAATATATTATTCAACTTAACTAAAGTATAAAAATAAAATAATAATATCAATATATACTATCTCTGTTATTAACAAGATATTATATATAATTAATAATTACTAAAAATAAAAACTTATTAAATTATCCAAACAATTATTTGGTCAATATATTCTAAAATTTAAAAATAGCTATAATTGAAATCAAGTTTTTTTTTTTAATATTACTTATCTAAAAAACTAAATATTATAATATATTAGTATAATTTTTTTAAAAAAATAATATCAAATATATTAAAAATAATTTTTTTTTATTGAAAACATGCAGATTCAAAAATTGAATAAAGTTATATATATATATTATCTTCAATTTTTATTATTGTAGATTGCTGGTTTTTATATATAGATTATGAATTAAATTTAATCAAATATACAATTAATAATAACTATTGGGATTCAAGCATTAAATATTATTATTATAAATAAAAATTTATAATTTTAATATTTTTTTATTAATGAATTTTTTACTTTGAACTTATTTTCTATTAGCCAATCAGTTATAGTTATTATATAAGTTGTAAAAAATAACTAAATTTGCATAGATTAACCTGTATCACATAGCTTTTAGTCATGTGATATAGGTTAGTCTGTACAAATTTAGTTATTTTTTACAATCTATATAATAACTATATTATTGTACGAGTCTGACATAACAACCTGTGTAACACCTTGCACTATAATATAAATAAGAATCAATTAGTAATCTAATTTAAAATCTTTTTTTTTCTATAAATACCAAATAATTAATTGAAGAAATCTAACCTTTTGATTAATTATTTGAAAGTTACAAAATACAGACAAAATTTTGAAAAAACAAAGATCTAATAATATCATAGCCTGTTTAATAAAAATATTAAACAAAACAAGTTAAAGAATATTAAAGAAAGCAAAGAGTATTAAAGAAAACAAAGATCTACTAATAATATCAAAAAGAATATTAAAGAAAATGAAGACCACCAATAATATTAATAAAAAATATTAAAAAAAACAAAGACTATTAATGATGTTAATAAAAAATATTAAAGAAAATGAAGTTTGCCAATGATGTTAATAAAAATATCAATATTGTTAATAAAAATATTAAAAAAATAATATCTAATAGTGTTTGACTGTCAAATAAAGATTATAAAAAAGGTAAAGATCTAATAATATATGACTGTCCAATAGGAATTTTAAAGAAACAAAAACTATCTGCCCAATAAGAATTTTAAAAAGTGATTCGATAATACTAATCCGTAGAATGAGAATTTCAAAGAAAGCAAAAATCTAATAATATTGTAGTCCGTATATTGAGAATTCAAAAAAAAAAAATAACAACTAATAAAAATTATAAAGAATTTAATAGAATTGTAAAGAAATAAAGTGATTTAAAAATATTATAAACCTATCCAACAAGAATTTTAATACAATAATTCTGATTAATTACAATTTAAAAAGCAAAAACTTAATTATGTCGTGACCCATTAATTACAATTACAAAAAAATGATGTTCTAAAAAACAATCTATCTTATCCAATTACAATTTCAAAAAAAAACAAAAATGAAATAACTAAATCAAAACAATTTCATATTTTATTAAATATGAAAGTGTTCCGATTTAGTTATTTTTTAAACACTTGCCAATAAATAAGCGTAAAAAGCACGGGTTGTTACACAAGACCTGTACAATAAAATTTTGTTATGTCACAAAATGATCTACAAAAATTAGCTAATCATAATGAAAGCCCTCTATGCTGTGTAGACCCGCTGACATAGTCTCATGCCGAATTAAGTATTAATTATTACTTTTAAAAATCTGGAATTGACTACCGGTCAGTTAAGCCATCGGTAGGCTAAATATCGACTACGGCTAATAGTTGACTATAGTCGATTATAGTTGTAACCGAACCCATCCCTAGTTTACATTACATTTTTTACTCAAAATAGGGAGAATAAAAGGAAGACAATATCAACCACAGAATTAAATTGGGTTGGTCTAATGGAAAGAACAATGCAAACTAACTCATTTTAACCAAATATTGTAGTCGCTAAAATAATGAATAAGTTTTGTAACAGAATTATTTATAGAAATCATGACAATCCCAATGTGAACTAATTCAAACTTAATCACATATTATGGTCACTGGAATAATGAATAAATTCTGTAAGAATTTTTTTTTAAAATAGCTTACAAAATAAATAATCAAATGCTAATTACATACTGTAATCACGGGATAGTAAATAAGTTCTGAAACAGAATTATTTACAATAGCTCAAAATAGAAATTACGATAGATTTTGATGCAAACCAACTCACTGGAATAACAAGTCTGTCAATAGCTCATGGGAGAAATCATGTTAATTCCAATTCATTTTATGGTCACTGGAATAGGAAGCAAGTTTTGTAGCAGAATTTTTTATAGTAACGGTAATACAGGTTTCTATTGTCAGTATATTGTACTGTACGTACGTGATCGTTGCATTGGTCACATGATTTTATTCAGAGATTCTTATTGGTCAGCATATTAACAAAAATTTTCAATCTCTACTTTACTGACCCGGCCGGGATATGAGAAACGATTATATAAGTTTGTATGGCCTTACATAATTTAAGCCTTGTTTGTTTTTTATACTTATTATTTAAAAAAGTTATTAATTATACTGTATTTATTTCCAATAAGTTCTACAGTATATGCTCAAAGAATACTTTGGCTTCGGCTAAATTTTTTAAAAAATAATCAAACATTATTATCATTCTTATTTTAAATACAATATTATTAAAAAATTTTTATTTAGAACTGGACTAGATGGTGCCCCATGCACAATGTGCTCCTTACTATAAAAATTGCTAATACTGTATCTCAAAATTTTACTAGGTAACCCTGTTGTGTAACTAATACAGTAAAAAATGTTCCTCTCGCAATTTTAGCCTAAAAAAACCCTAACCCTAACCCTAACCCTAATGTTAGTCTTTATCTTTGTTCGCTATCAAAACTTTGGGGCACAAAATGCATGGGGCACCATTTAGATTTTTCCTTTATTTATATTTTTAACTTAAAAAAAAATTATAAATAAATTTATAACAATTTTTTTAATTAAAATTCTGCAAACTAAAAAAATAACTTTATAAAACAAATTTTATTTAAAAATTTTATTAATTAATTCTTGAATATTACACTAACTTACTTGTTTAGTAATACAAAGAATTAGGTTTTTAACTTTATAATACCCACTAATTTTAAGCATTAATCGCTAATTATATAATATAAACAAATTAGTACTTCATTATATTAAGTTTACTAATATTTTCGTATTAGAATGATAGGGTTATCAATATCCTGTAGGTGCTATGTCAGAACCAGGATTCATGCTATTATTTCGAGATAATTGACTATTGTTATAACCTGATGATATTGAAGATGATTGTGGTGGTGGTATTATTGTATGTGAATTTTGTGAATCTTGATAATCCGAATTATTGAAATCTTTATAGTAATGTTCCTTAATTGATTGATCATCAATAAATGGTTTATTATGAGGATTTTCGTCTAAGGATTCTCTTTGAACTGATGATTGATTTTGTTTTGAAGCCAAAGCAGTTACTAAACTTTCGTAACTAGTTTTTGGTGCACTAGAAGTTCCTGTTCTAGTAAGTGCAGAATATTGTGATCTATTTTGATATTGATGACCTGATCCTAATGGATATGCAGTAGAAGTATTATTTGAATAACCTGGAAGTTCAGATGAATTGCCACCATGATGACCTGTATAATGTCCACGATAACCAACGGGTGTTCCAGTTCTTGATACAGGGGTTCCAATCCTCGATGGACCATATCCGGGAGTTCCAACTCTCGGTGGACCATATCCGGGAGTTCCAAACCTAGGTGGACCATGACCAGTTGTTCCACCACGTGGTGGACCATAACTAGGAGTTCCAGTTCTTGGTGGACCATAATCAGGAGTTCCAATCCTAGGCGGACCGGGAGTTCCAGATCTTGGTGGACCATAATCAGGGGTCCTAGATCTTGGTGGACCATAATCAGGAGTTCCAACTCTCGGAGGGCCAAGTTCAGGAGTTCTAGATCTTGGTAGACCATAATCAGGAGTTCCAACTCTTGGTGGACCATAATCAGGAGTTCCAACTCTCGGAGGGCCAAGTTCAGGAGTTCTAGATCTTGGTGGACCATAATCAGGAGTTCCAACTCTTGGTGGACCATAGTCAGGTGTTCCGACTCTCGGTGGACCATAATCAAGAGTTCCAATTGTTGGGGGACCGTAATTGACTGTTCCTGCTCGCGATGGGACAGCAAGTCCTGGAGTTCCAGAACGTTGAGGGACCGGAGTACCAGACCTTGACAAACCGTATGGTGGCAAGCCTGATAATGAATCATCAAGGTAATCGACAGTTGGTAAGGTTGGCTGATTAAAAGGTTGTGCTTCAATATCTTTTTTCTTGCTAGAATGGGCAAAATTTCCTTTAGGTTCAACTTCAGCTTCATAGTGTTGTTTCTTAAGGCGCTTTTGTATTTGTACTTTTAAAAGCTCGCCAATTCTGTTTATTATATATATATATATATATTTTTTTTTTAGAAAAAAGAAAACTTTTGTCAAATTTATTGTACATTTCATTTGCGTGTTATATCTTTTTACTAATGATTGTACCCGACTAGAATGCAGCTATTCGAAATATATATAATAGCATTTCCGGATAACTTGAAATACTTAATAATACTTGTGTAGGGATTTTCTCGAGGGGTACAGTATGACTCCGAATAATATTAATAAAGGTTATATTGGAATTTCTGACCTTTTTATCCACTTTTCTTGAATTTGATTGGCTAACAAATTTTTTTAACCAATCAGATTTGTAAATTTTGTCAAAATTTTGCTAATTTTTCATATATAACCTATGTTAAAATTATTCGGGTCCTGGTACAATCTCAACTTCTTACCTTTTATCAATTTTATAGCAACAATATTCCTTTAAATTTCCCCTGATATGGCATAATAATGGAATATATAAAATAACAGCTAATATAATCTTGAGAAACGAAAATACAAAAAGGAAGAGAGAAAATGCCATTGTTGCCATAGCAAGACGATGAACACTATCTCCATAGTTGTTGATATCAAGATATTGTTTTGATTTATTTAATTGAATAAGGAAAAATAATGTGGTGCCATTAATGGCTTGACGTGGTGCTTCAGCAAAGAGAAGACGTTTCCAACCTATAATGAGTAATGGAACATTTTAATCCAAAACGTTCATGAAGAAGTAAATAAAATTCTTCAAAAAAAAGGTTACCTTTAAATGAAAAGAACACAAAGAAAGCGATTTTATCGATCAACTTTTGAGAATTATTAATTTTGCTAAAAAAGCAAAAATGGGCATAACTTTTCAAGGTATAAGCTCTGTAAGCTACAATATTGGTAAACGCATATGATATATCTCTTGAGTCATAGATCCTTTTAGCTTTTCTAATATCCCAAGCCAAAAGTAAAAATGAAGCAATAATACTTCCAATATAAATCCATTTTGAAACATAGAAAGGAATTTTTGGTTGTATTGCAGATCCCCAACGGTCAAAAAAAAGTAAAAGTCCAGCAGTCCATATATCAGCAACGTAAATAAGTACGGATTTTAATACAACAAGGAAGACAAAGGAATAGGTTATTCTTCCAGTTAATTTTCCAGTAATACTTGTGTATTTAAATTCATCCAAGTCAACAAAATCAAATTTATGATCTGTGACCTTATTATTTTTAATTTCTTCTTTCCATTTTGGTGCTGAACAGCACATTTTTTTTCTTAATAAAAAAATCGGCGGTGTTAATGATTTCTTTTATGGTATATTACAATTTTTCTTTTTTGGCGAGTAAATAATAAAAATAATTATGATTTGATTTTTTTTTTTTCATTTTTTAAAAATTAATAAATTCATTTATCAAATTAGAACCTTGAATGAGTTATATGAAGCGTATTATGATAGAAAGTAGAATTGGAAAGTTAATGTTAAGTATAATAGGGTTTTAATTTAGTATTAAGTCATTTTATATATATATTTTGAGGACGCGAATAAAATGATAAGTTTTGGGCGAAATTTCTTCGAAAATATCGAAGAATAAGGAAAGAAAAAAAATCAAATATAACGAATGTGAGTATAATGTATAAGGAATGAAAATCCCAAATAACGATAGTAGGAAAAAGAAAGCAAGCAGGACTATTCAACTCGATTGATTGTTTTTTAATAGCTAATCAAAATGGAAATTTTGAATTTGCAGATCTTTTAAATGTTGTATTACCCAATTTTTTTCTTTTACTCGTCTATTTCTTATTTAAGATGCAGGTAATTTCTTTTGTAAAATATAAGGTCTAATATTAGACTATACTGCGGTTCTCGGCCACACCAGTAAATGAGGCGTCATGTAAATTA